TTCCCACATAACAACTTAAGTATGCAAGTACTGCAAAAAACCTCAGTACCTTCGATGCCAGATAGACGGACAGCTGTACGACCCCACTGCATTCAGACACCACATTCAAGATATAACAGCCATAATCTCAGTTAGCAAATTGAGTCAATCGATATGCTCCAAGGTGTCAAATCAAAACTTGCAGATGACCATCAAATTGAAGAAGATCTATGTACACAAATTACATGACACTAGTTTCGAAACTATCGACGTGTCATGTACTACCGACATATTGACAATGTTGTAATTACGTATCCTATTCAGGTTTCCCATTGCAAAAACAATTGGTGACACCTGAAAATGCTGACGACAGCACTATGGCCTACCTGTACAGCCATCTGAAATGTGCAGTAAAGTCACTGTAGATGTTATGGGAGTCTTGGGAGTAACTGAGACACTGAATACGTACGTTTCACATTTCCATTGTGTAGAAGTGTTTGTACTAAATGTGCAGAATCTACAGCACGTACTTGTATGAACAAACACATGTAGAAAAATATGCTACAGTCACTTGTTCACTGTAGAATACATGTAAACATAAAATCACCCATTTGGTAGAGCTGTGCACTAATGTGAACAATAAACAGCACATGTAACAGTACAGTAAATCATTCTGGCACATCCAGACGTTCCTGTCTGTCTGGCCACATATTTTCATCTACATCACAACAGATGTTATCCCTCGCAATGCAGCGAGGAAAGTATCTCCTGGAGTGGCGAATCCATCCTCTGCAGGACCCTGCTGTGATGTCGTCACATGCTGCATCCATGGCTGCTAGCAGGGCCATTTGCTCATGTGGATTTCATTTTTCTTGAGTACTCTGTCAATTGTTGAAATTGGAACAGATTCAATATTGCCAAATACCGTGTAATTCTCATGACAGCGCTTTGTATTTCTCTCAGCTTTATTGCATTGTTTGCAATGACCATTGCACAAATGGCTTCTTCTTGCTGTGGGGTAAAAAGGGGCCCTCTTCCGCCTCCGCGAGGTTGTCTTACAATCCTATGTGGTGCAGAGTGAACTTTTTGTGAAATTGCAAATACAGTACAGTAACATGTGATGTGTCTGAGATGGCACAGTACAGTACAGTGTATTACTGTTTGCATACCTGTTTTCCCTACGGAATGTGATGTTGAACTGAAGTAGTTCTTCCAATATTGGGTTGCACCCTTCGACCAGCCTCCTCCATGGTGAGGCCGTGATTGACAACATGGTCCACAATTGTAGCCCTTATTTCATTAGGAATCCGCCTATATCTGCCTCTTCTCCCTCTTCCCCTTCCCCTTCCTCCCCGCATCCTCACCCCTCTTCCACGGTGCTGACCTTCCATTTTGTGTCACAGAAGTGTAGAAATGGTACACACTAGCTCCTGCGCAGTTTATATATGCTTGCCAATTGGGGATTCACAGGATTCATCCATAATTGACAGTGAACAAGTTGTTTGTCATTGGTTACAACTAAACTTTCACACGCCTCCTCATGAGTGACAGCTGTAATTCACCGAGATCAATTGTTCAATTTCGGAGACATTTCCAGGAAAAATGATACAGAAAGGTATAGGATTTGCTTGACAGATGGCCAATATTTGGCATGTGATAACTAGTTCAACAATTTTGTGTGTGATGACTCAAGCAATGGATGTATGACTATTAGTTTTATTGGGAACGACTATTCAGCATCCATAGGTATGATTACTTTTGACTGACATGACATAAGCAAATGGAAATGTCAGAAAGCAGCAGGGAAATGTATGGAAGCAACTGATTCATGTCCAAAATCATTTGCAGTTTGTTCAGAGAGAGGAGAAATTGCTACTATGATGTGCACAAATTACTGAGTGTTGTGGAGGTTGAACTAATAGTTATGAGAATTTCAATTCTGATCTGAGAAATGCACCAGAGCGACTGAGAAAAACTGTAAAACTAACATATCAAATTTGATTTCCCCCCATGCTCCCGAGTAGTGGTATGACCCAATTTGCAGGTCTCCACATAAGCTTGCTCCGCCCCTTTTCCACCTTTCAGCTCATCCACCAAGGGACTGGGAGCAGCTGCCACTGAGGTAACTCAGAAAACAAAGAAAGATTAAATCAGACATACATAACAGTGAAAACTAAAATGTGTGCACTTATTTTAGAATACAGTATTATGTAATTGTATAAGTAAATTCATTCTAAACTAAAACCAATTCTTTATTAGCCTGTAAATTAAATCCTACATTTAAAGAAAGAAAAATATAAGTGTATGTTATGGTTAAGCTTCTGATGTTTGGTAGACATTAGCACTGTGTGGCTGAAACTGCAGCCATCACAAGTAGATTCAATTATTCTAAAATTACCTTAAAAGTGTTTTAACTTTAATTATTTAACATAGGAACATCCGTGAGGTACATGAGGGGGACATCTTTGGTTGCCAGTCTTGAGGAACACCATATCCATATATGAGGGATGGAGGGTCCAAATACTTATTTTACACTTAATAGAGCGCTATGGAGAAAAGTGAGTATTTCTTGTACATAAACTAAATAAGTTATAAGTTGTTTTTTTTTGTTTGTGTTGGTTTGTGTGGCATTTTCACTGTGGCTACATTTAGGCTTCTTGGTCAGAAGAAGGACACTCCTGGGACACTGCACTGTGCTGGCCCAAGTAAAATGACTCCAGTGGCAGCTCCTAAATTGTGTGCGCTGGGGTGATGAAAACAAAGAGGACCAGTCAAAAATGTTTGATTTCTTCTATTTTTCCAAAGCTTCTGCTCTTTGTACTTGTTTATTTTACAAGAAATCTACAGAAAAGTAAAGTTTTTGCTTATCCAATTTAATTACCTGCAACTGTTTTTGCTTTCAGCCTAACTTCAGGAATAAAGGCAATTTTAGCATCATGAATAGTAGATCAGCTTCCATGTTTAAAGGACTGCCATGGCACAGGACTTCAATGGATACACACAACAACAATTAAAAAACCTAAATATTGGGCGGTTTTTCAATCAGTATACTGAGTGTCATTGTGATTATAAAAATAAATATACAGTTTGTGTGTACTCAGTTTCCATATCTTTAAAAGATGCATGCACATTATATGTCACTCATTCAAGTGGCATCTTCAGTCATATGCACATTATAGATGCATAAATAATAACATTTGTTTAAATCTATTGCGAAGTTGGCAAAAAGGTTTGTACAACCTTGTGACAGTGTAAAGTGTATGAAACATAATACTTGATCTTGGTTTAGTCCATCTCCTAACAATTAATTGCCAGCATTCACAACCACAGACTGGTCTACTTTGTTGTTGTTTTGTCCTCTCTGAGCAAATGTCAGGCATAGTGTTGGAGCTCACAGCTTCAGGATTACAGACAACTTAACATTAACCAAACAACTACGACTTAAATATGATCAAATGAATGAGGGCTCATTTAGCTATGATGGAAGCGTAAAATGTTGCTCATAAAGGTGCATGAAATGATCTGAGAGGGAGATTCCCTCTTGCCACTTTTCCAAAGTGTTGATGTATGTTAAATACTGAAAAAATCATCAATTCATTAGTTGTTGTTTTTTTAAGTTAAGAGTTTTTACATGTAATTTGTTCTATAAACAGAGCTGGCTTTACATAGCATGTCTTTATGTGTATTAACATGTACATGTTATGTAACCAAAGACTAATTTGAAATAATTGATATAATATAATGAATTATATACTTTTTTTTTACATGCATGTTACTTTCATTGATATATTTTTTATGAATTTGCTGTCCATGTTTTATGTATCATACGACAATAAAAAGATTTTTTGAGAAAATCTGTTTTGAATCTAGTTTTCATTAGCTGAATTTTATAATAAGTAGAAATCTTAACCCAAATATTAATGGTAATATAACCCATGTGATGGGTTCTGACTTTCGACCCAATGTTTGGTAACCTCAACTTCAAACATTGGTCAATTTAACCCAATTTTTTGATAGATATCCTAACCCAGTGTGCTGGGTCAAACCAGTAACCCAACCCTGTTAAGTTGAAACAACCCAGCGTTGGCTCGATCCATATTTGACCCAGCATTAGGTTACTGATTGGGTCATTTTTAACCCAGCATTTTTAAGAGTGTACAACAACAGCAGCAACTATTGCATACACTTAACTACTAGGGATGCGACGATACACAAAATTCACGGTTCGGTTCGATACTTTGGTGTCACGGTTCGATATTTTTTCGATAAAAAAATGTTCATGCCTTTTTAATTTGTCATTTATTAAAATTATAAATATATATTTTAACTCAAAAGTACAGTTTTTAAATTTAATGTTGCTGAAACAACAAAGTAATAAAAAAAATAAATCTATCTGATTGAGAAATCACTCATCTTTGGAAAAGAGAGTTTATTACAGAGAAATGGCTCTTTCCAAAATAAAAGCTATACTATACGCTTCTTCTGGGGTATACTCTCAGCAGCATATTAAACATATCAGGTCCCCATAAGGAGAATCATGTGCTAACGGCTGTCTAAATGACTCGGGTAAAGTTTGTAGCATGCGTGCTTGTTGTTTTTGTCTGCTTCCACTTGTCTTTGCACTAGGATGATGTCGGCGTAAATGTGCAGTCATATTCGTTGTGTTCCCACTAGTGCTGTCAGCGTTAATCTCGTTAAAATGACATTAACGCCATAACGCGGCAAATCTCCGTTAACGAGTTACCGCGGATCGCCCCGTGCGTGGGGCTGGACGGCGTCAACACGTTAACAAGCTAACTGCGCTAACGCACTAGTTCCCACCCATGTAATTGAGCATTGCGTGGCACATCCAACATACTGTTTTACTTTTGTCCATGACGCGCTTACCTTCAGGGTCATACGTCACATGAAAACCAAAATAGTTCCAAACGCCAGATCTGAATGAGGGTGGGAGAGGTTCAATTTGCCATGTTGCAAGGAGAGCTTAACTTCTGTCTCGCTAGCTTGCCCTGCGCTCAGTGAATCTGTCATATTGAGGTGAAAAGGAAGCGATTTGTCCCGTACTTCAGCTAGAATTAAAAAATAGACACAAAGCTGGAGTTATTCTGTCTTTGCTGCGCAGTTGCATCTACTTCTCTCATTCTCTCCCCCTCCCTCTCCTGTTATTACTTCAAACATGAAACTGATCAATGATCAGCTGATCGGCTTTTCTGCCGCAAGTCCCGTCTTTCTTGTTTGTTTATCGCCCACTTTGCGCTAGAAAGAGGAGACCAGCGGATAAACAACAGCAGCACGTTTAAGCGTGATCAGCTGTTGTTAGAATGTATTTAATATTACTTTCTAGTATCAGCTGAGGTTTGCTGGAGCCACGGCTGTAAAAGCTGCTGGTCATGATATCCGTTTGGATATGTGGTGAGAGGAAACATGAAGATGAAACCAGGAGATGTCCTTACTGAATCATCAGAGCTGAGCAGGTGATGGAGAAACAGGTTTACCTTTTAGGTGACATGAATGAGTTGAAGGGAAGTTATGACTGGTTTCCTCTTTCTGGCACAAAGTGATAAACAAACAAGAGAGAAAAGCCGATCAGCTGATCATTGATCAGTTTCATGATTGAAGTAGAAACAGGAGAGGGAGGGGAGAATGAGAGAAGAAGAGGCAGCTGTGCAGCAAAGACACAGAATAACTCCAGCTTTGTGTCTTTTTCATTGTAGCTGAAGTCCGGGACAAACTGTTCCTTTTCACCTCAATACGAAACGCGTATATTTTCTCTGAATACGAGACGATTCCGTTTTTTACGGGACGGTTGGCAACTCTAATAATTAACCTTATGAACAAAATAAAGTTCAACATCAGTAACATAGCACCCACCCAGCTGTATAGAAACTCCGTCATGCTAGCTAGCACGCAGTACGAAAAAGTCAGCATACTTGAAAATAAACTACTAAACTTGGTTCATATCTGACCCAGATGGACTGCAGGTTATAACTTCTTACCTGAAGTTCAGTTCACCTGACACTCTCGGACCAGCGGCCGCTTCGGGTCTCTCCTCTTGCCTCCCTTTTCCTTCATCCACCTGCTGGCTCCACCACTTGCTAATGTTATCTGAATCTGTGGAAGCTCCGCGATAGCCACCACACGAAGTAACGAAGTAACGAGCCCTATCTAAATCCCAGTAACGATAACGCGTTCCTGGTTTTGGCATAATAACTAGTTACCGTGCTCGTTACCACAATAATAACGTAGTTACTGTAACGCGTTACTTAATAACGCGTTAGTCCCAACACTGATGATATCCAAATGTATGATATCGGAATCGGTATCGGACATTAAAAAGTGGTATCGTGCCATCTCTAATGCGTACCAAACCGAAAGCTCTGTATCGAACGGTTCAATATCGATACATGTATTGTTGCACCCCTATTAACTACTATAAAGACAATGACGTGTTGTCTTGTTTCTTAATCTGGAACTCTGTTTAGATATTTGAAGATTTTTTTTTTCATGCATCTACTTCTTAAGAATAAATAAAACTTTTTATTTACTTTGATATCTCTGTGATAGATTTTTTTTTGTGAGCCTCAGTATTATTTTCTTCATTGGAAGGTCATCTTTTTCTCGTCACACTGGCAGATGGTTGAAATGACAGCTCTCAAATCTGAACAGTAAAATGTGAACCATCTGTTTGCACTTAAATAAATGAACACTGGAACAACACACAGCTGCCTAATAAACTAAGTGACTAATGGAAAGCTTCACAGTGTGTTTTAGAATGACTAGATTTTGCAAAACCTTCCTTCTATACTTAAGTGAAAAAAACATAATACTAAAAAAATGAAATAAATCAGAAACTGTCAAATGTTTTCAGGTTTGGTATCACCAGGTCCCACTTGTTGCAGAACACCAATGGAAATTTTTATGATCCTTTGTCTTTCAGATTGCCCTGTTTTCTTTCTGCCACTGCCACCATTTTCTGACAGTCTTACTCCTTTTCTATCTGATTTACGGTTGTTCCTTGCCTGTATTATCTAGTTCTGATAAATACAGCTTTCTAACAAAGTGAAATCACTTGCAGCAAAATCATGTTTTCAGGAAAGTTCCAGTGAGCTCGACCTTCCTCGAACTGTGTTTTTCTATTTTCTCAACTCTACATACCTGAGGGGGAGAGTGCAAAATCTGAATGACTCTTAGAAGCCACATTAATAGGAAAATATACTAAAGGTGTCCTTTGAAAGAGTGAAAGACAGAAAGTAAAGAGGAAGAAACCTGGAGACTGAGCACGAATATCTTATAATGCTTCCCAACGTCTTGTGAGAAACTTTGGCAAAACAATGAATAGTATATTTCAGGGTAGGGATCATTTTAACTTTCCCTTGGCACACAAATTGCTGTAGCGCAGGGATATTAATTTTTTTTTCTGCAATTTAAGTCTGGAGGGAGAAAAGGAATAACCTTTCAGTGCAAAATACAGAAAAATCTGTAGAAGTAATATGTAAAAGTTTCAGAGTGTGCTTTTGAAAATCAAATTTTGCATTTTTCAGAGTGCTGTAGTTTTCAGAGGAAAGCAGTTTCAGAGCTTTGAAGGATGACAGTGTTTGAATAAGTACTATTGTTGTGAAAACAGAATCAAACAATACAACATACTCTATGAAATATTTCTTATGAGCTGAGCAATTGTTTTGTTCACAACACAATAAATCAAAAGTCCACCAGGGATGCAAAAGCATCCCTTAGTTTAAATGTGAATGCAATCCTCATTACCAGATTGTTTTGTTGTAAACCTTTGGATCACTTCACTTAGACAATAGCATCTTAGCTTGACACCTCCGCCCTTTTCTTGCCATTTAAAAGTGGCTAAATTCAAATCAGGTATAGTTTTAGATTTTTTATGACTGCTGTCACAACTTTATGATCACATCAGGTATAAGATAGGTGTTGATTTTCCTTCCTTTGAATACATTTATATTTAGAGGTTACTGTTACAGTATCTGACAACAGCTGCATTGCAGCTAATCAGAAAAACCTGTTGAAACTTGAAATGAAATAAAACCTGTGCACAGCTTTTTAAGAAGTATTGAAAGAAAAAACAGTAAAAAGTAACGTGCTAAAAGTTAAAGCAAGTGAGTTTTAATGGAACCTGTTGTTGGTAGTCTAAATTCATCACCAACTTCAACTCTGCCTCACTGCTTCTGGAGGCTGATAGATAGGATTGCTGCTCATTGCTCTTTTCCTGTGCCCACACCCAGAGGACACGGTGATGGATGATTGGCGGAGGACAGCTGGTGCTCTGCCTCTCAGGAGGGTAACTAATAGAATGGGGGCAAGTGGGCTGGTGCAGTGAGTACAGAACCAAACAGAATGCCCCAAGTACAATTTTTTTTATTTCTTATCAGCAGGCAAAAATAACCCTCAGACCTCAAAGTTTTTTTTCATGGCTTCATTTTTATCTGCTAATATTTCAGACAGATTAGGTCACGAAATAGATGATGATTATACCTTGGCGGACACGCTGCATAAAAATTAATGTTTTTGCTCTTCTCAGCTGGTCACACATGAACTGTATCTCACACTTTAATGAGCAGGATTCTAAAAGGACACTTGTTTCAGCCTCTTCCCATTAGTAGGCTTGTGATTTCCAAAACAATGGCAAAAGAATCCACATTTAATG